TTAAATTCGTCAAAATATCCTTTTTTCGGAAAGTGCTTGTCAAAAAATGGTCGCCATTAGAAAAATAATAGTTAGATACGAAAATGTAATTTTGCCAACTTGTCTTATTCATATCTATCATACTTGTCACTAAAATTTCGCGATTGTAAATTTCTGATATCACCTGAGGTCCACAGATTAGTTTACTTCCGATCATGGCCACCTAGATGTAATTCCAAAATAGACTCCGAAAAAATTAAGTAGTCATGAAAACTTTCGGAAATGTCACATTCTGATCTAGAATTGTCTCAAAAATCCAAAAATGTTACGATATACAGGGTGTTCCATTTAAAAACTTATAACTGGAGCAATTTCTGGTGAAACCGGAAGTGACCGGAAAGTGAAAAATTTGTGAAAACTCTACTCTTCACATACCATTCACCTATAACAAATCTCATTTCGATACACCTAATGGTCTAGAAGTTATGACTTGTCTAATAGATTCGTTGACACCCGGTATATAAAGTAGGTATGTGGTATTCATTCGACTTTAGTGTGAACAACCCCATTGTAGTTGCTTCATTGAATAAAATAATTTCAGGAATTATGAAAAAATACCTAGATATTCATTTCATGAAATATGAATGAAAAAACGTGATTGATAAAATGCTTTATTTAACAGTACATTGGACATACACTCATGAATGAATTTTGTACTTTCGTACTATCAATGCTATTTTCAGGTTTTCAGTAGGATTTTGATAAGCTATTGTATTTGGGCAGATTAGAAGGCTGCAAACTCTGTTTATCGTGGGCATCCTTAATGTCTTGAAAAGATGAAGGCTTGCTGTGTATAACTTTGTGGACTGGAACCCGTTCTTGACAGACTCTGTACCTTATTACATTGGTATTCTTCAGAGCGGTGTATTGTTCGTAATCAGTTCCCTGCAAATCTGTAGAATTTTCCTCTGATTTCGAAGTATGGTGAGAAGCTTGTTGTGCGGTAGACTGAGGTTTCAGTTTGCTAGCCAGATACCGTTTTACAACGTTGATGGACATCTTGGAAGACTTCAATATGTTTGCCATGGTGTTGTAACACTTTCGATTTGCACTAATTTTGAAAATGTTTCTTCTAAATCTGATGTGAAGTCAAACTGACAGCTGACTGCTAGGTTGATCATTTTTTCAATGCCACCGCAGCACGGAGATGCTTCAAGTCAAATCATTCACACTTGGTCTTGCCCTACAGGGCTATACAGGTCATTGATCACATATGGAGCTATTGCTTGATGATGGCCGAAAACCTCTCATCGAACGGCACGGTATACAGTACGGATCGTGTATCAGAATCTAACTTAACGCACCTATACACCTTTATTAATTAGCTTCAGCAGCCCGCGGATATTAGCTGCAAAAGCCAAGCGAGGTGTCTAGATAGTGTTGTTATGAGTTTAGCAGCTCAAAGGACGATATACATTACTTTCGGTCTTATTTTTAGGGTTGATATGATTTATTCTCATATATGGTAGGCGAAAACAAAAATTGTTCAATGATACCTCAGAACTATCAATCGAGAAGCCATTCGTCCTAGTGGAGAATCAACCATTCGTATTTCATATCTGACAATCAAAACTGTCATATTTATATTCACTTTGATGTGATAGTGGGTACATAGAAAGAATAGTTAAACGGTCAGTACGATGTTACAATCATTTATGGAAACCGTTTATATATATTATATAAATAAAATCATATAGTTGAAGGTGAATAATTCTTTATATTATAGTTATTATAGTTATAATCCACAAGTGGTGCCTCAATGACTTCAACTATACCGATATTGATTATGCTCACCAAAGGCCTGTTCGTTTGTCATGATCACCCTGCTAAAAAGTGATGTGAGCAATACTTGAAGTTCGTTTGTTCCGAGCAATTGATGATGGAGTGTTCGTTTGACTGGAGCAAGTTGCGAGAGATCACTTGAAGCAGGATCTATTTGCTCCGCGAATTTTCAGGGTGCAGAAAAATTAAATCAGATTGATCCAGTTGGATGACAAATGAAAACGAAGAAAATGGCGAAAAATGCAACATTCATATATAAATATGGCGAAAAAGTAGAATTCTTAACATTGCCAAGGTAATAGACGCGAATTCGTACATTATCGTCGAATAATGCCAAAGTTTTATCATTTTAATCACTTATTGTTTTCTCTCAATCAAAATCAACGATCAAAACCTCCAATCAGAACCAAATCGAAACACATTTGGAAATCACTCAGATGAGGCTATGTTCAGATATAATTTGTGCCACTGCTTTGTGTTCGTTTGTGTTGAGCAGTAAATCAAGCTTTCTGTTTGTTTCATCAAGTTTCATTTAATATAGTGAACGCCTTCACCAAAATTTACAATTGAATGGAACTTATGGCGAAGGCGCAATAATGATGAAAATGTATACAGGGTGTTTCATAATTGAATGTCAATATTCGAGGAGGCGATTCTTGGGCTCATTCTAAGAAGAAAGTTTCATATGAACGTATGACCTAAACGTCCCAACTTTGGAGATACAGGGTGGTAAAATTCTCGAAAATTAATATAGCCTACTACAATGAGAAGTTATAATTCGAAAATACCAAATACGAATACAAAGTTCATGAACTATGAATTGTATTTCTGAAATTTGATCTTAAAAATAAAAACTATTTCTCTGCATTGTGATATTATCATATTAACAATATTACTATAATCATGTAGTGAAAAGCTTTTTATTTTCAAGCGAAAACCGTGCATCAGATTGAAAAAATTGTAGTGATCAAATTTGCTTAGAAATGATCGGGAATTTCAGGAATGATTTCAATTTGGAGATTAATCAGTGGCGTACCATCAATGTCTGCCAAAATAGGTATGTGAAATTCCATACGAACGCCACTGGTGGCAACAACAAAAAATGTGGTACGCTAACTGATGCCTCTTGATACATAGTACATGTATGCCAAATTTCATCAGAATATCTGAAGTGGTATTACAGATATTAATAAAAAACTATTAATTTTTGAGAACTTTACCACCCTGTATCTCAAAAGTTAGGATGTTTAGGTCATACGTTCATATGAAACTTTCTTCTTAGAATGGGCCCAAGAATTGCGTCCCCAAATATTGACATTCAATTATGAAACACCCTGTATTTTATCTCTAAATTACCAAAATTTATGATAGGTCGCCAACTCTTCTACGGTGTTCTTATGAGGTTGGAGGATTAGTGGAAGATATTAGGATTGAGTCGACTGGATATATAGTATGAATGTAAGTATTTTGTTGTTGTTGTATTTCTTTGTTTTGCATCAATCATGGTTAGGCTGGAAAACAGAGGGTGTGATAAAAAATAATTTGTGTCAAATATGATCCAAAACATATCCCTAATTGAACTTATGTAGATCAGGGCTCTCGAATCATAAAGAGTTGATATTTTAGTGGTGGTTTGGACAGGCTTGATGTATTCAATTTACACCGAGAAGTCGCCTCCATATCATACAGGGCGTGCTGGAATTATTATTATATCCGTTGTTCATACAAGTGGTCAAAAGTTCATTTTTCCGAATGGAACCCACTGTTTTTCACTTAATAAATTGAAAGACGAATAAAAATGCTTCAAGATGAGATAGCACGTCCCTATACCTAAATCATCAAGTTTTCTTAATAAAGCCGCTTTTTGTGAAAAATATAATTTTATGAAAAAGTTAATTTTAGATAGCCATGGAAATATCAAACTCATGACAGTTCGGTGACATTATTGAGTAATAGTTGATGAAATTATTTTGTGATCTCACAAACTTCCTCTTATTCATTGGTGTCAATTTAGGATACATTTGTTTGAATTTTCTGCAAGTTCTGGCAATGATTTGATCACATTGTCCGTGTATAATAAATAACTTCATAAGAACTTCGTTTGAATAATCTATATTTGCGTTCATTCTGGGAGATTTTTTGAAACACTGTCAATAACAATTACTGAATTCCTCATTCATTAATGAATTTCACCGAACTGTCATGAGTTTGATATTTCCATGGCTATCTAAAATTAACTTTTCCATAAAATTATAATAATAATAATAATAATAAATGTTCTTTATTGGTTAAAACCAAATGGCCATTGACCGAGGTCCTTCAGCCATATAAAATTATATTTTTCACAAAAAGCGGCTTTATTAAGAAATACTTGATGATTTAGGTATAGGGACATGCTATGTCATCTTGTAGCATTTTTATTCGTCTTTCAATTTATTAAGTGAACAACAGTGGGTTCCATTTGAAAAAATGAACTTTTGATCACTTATTGTATGAACAACGGATATAATAATAATTCCAGCACGCCCTGTATGATATGGAGGCGACTTCTCGGTGTAAATTAAATACATCAAGCCTGTCCAAACCACCACTGAAATATCAACTCTTTATGATTCGAGAGCCCTGATTTACATAAGTTTAATGATTAGGGATATGTTTTGGATCATATTTGACACAAATTATTTTTTATCTCGAAAACCAATAGAGATAGGTATAGGGATTTATCAACAAAAGAGTATTGTCATGAAAAGGCAATTCTGAAAATTCGTTAATATACGGGGTATTCCATTTAAAAAAATTAAGTTGCTAGGACTTTTTGATAGAAACGGCAGCGTCGCAATTTCGAAAATATTTTAGATCGATAGAACAGGTGATAAAATGTAGGATGCGAAATTTTCAGAGAAATCTTGCGTTGCGTTCTCCATAAACGTCTAACGTACCATCGACCGTGAGTTACCCTGTATACCAAGCATGGAGATAGTGGAATGGGTGGGAATGGTGGTACCAAACATTGTAATATCAGGCATAGGTACTAAGTTCCGTTTTTTTTCAGAGAAAATACAGGCTTGAGTTTTGGTGATAAATATAAAGAAATTAATCGTTTATAGGGGTCTTTAACGATCGATTTTCTGTAATTTTATTAAATTTTCTAATACAAAGTCAACAAAAGGAAATGTTACCTTATCTTGAATTACGTTGCTCAATACGTTGAGGTCACTAGTTTGCAGTTCCGTTATGACGTCATTGATGACATTGTCGCTCAGGCCGGATGTGAACTGCGAAGTATCTGTGAAGTTTGAAGTTGTGGAGTTGTGGTAGTTAGTGATGATGTTGCTGTTCTGTATGGTGTTGATCCTTTTCGGGGAGTTGATAATATCGTTGTTGCCATTATGAACGGACAAAGGCCCGTCCAACGTCTTGAGACGCATCTCTCTTTAGTCCTGCAACAATAAATACCTATATATACATTGTTGAACGTACAGGGTTATTGTTTATATTATGATTCATCATTTATCATACTCAACAGCTAACTCAGCTAATATTTGTCTTACAGAAACGTTTGAATGAAGTATTTTTTATGGGCAAAAAACATCGTGAACCTAAAAATTTTACATCTTCCAGTTTTTTTTTCCAGAAAAATATTCCCTTCAGAAATATGTTTTGTATCGTGTTAGTTTTTGATAAGTCTCGAGGTTCATTTGCAAATAAATAATTTCTGATATGATGCATCCTCCGCATTTTTGAAAATTAATCTAAATTGGTCAACATTGATAACGTCGTGCTCCAAAATATAGCCTGAATTCAAAGTAGAATAACTAATAACAAATTTCCTCACCAATTTGAAATCGGTTTTCACCGATGATTAGCCTAATCTCTTGACAGTTTGTTGTGACAATATGGAACTTCTGTAATTTCTGATAACATTTTTACAGGGTGATAATTGAATGGGTGTAAAATTGCATCGTGGACGTCACCTTACCGTTTGAACAAATAATTTTTTTATTTTTCCTCTCACCTGTATCCTCTTGATTGATGCTTTCTCTCGAAACGTTTTCGGAATTTTCAAATTCAGAGCTTTGATAATAATTGTGTTATGAATATTCATTCTGAATGATGCATTTTTTCGACGATTAATTGAATGAAATTGAAAGTTGGAATTCTTCTTTGTAGAATCAACGTTGGATGTATAGTCGTCGGATATGTGATCGTGTTCGAACACAGAAAATTCTGAAAAAGTCTATACAAAGTGATACAAGGAATACTGAATGATGGAATGGAGAATAACGTAGTCTTCAGTAGATGAAACATAATTTTCTCTGTGTTACTAGTGGAATAATGGAGTGTTACTTCGTCATGAGGATGTCTGGTGTCTGACCTCGAAATGGTTTTGTAATTTCTTGGATCGAAGGTCATAAAATGAGAGTACGCATTTTTAATCAAAATGATGCATTATGTTCGTTAAGATAAATTATAAAATTCAAAAAATTACGATTGTAGTTCCAGAAGTATGAAATTCATATTTATTCTTGACGATGGATATACAAGGTGCGATTGTCCTGGGATGAAGAAGAATATGTTTGAATGTGATGAAAATCGCTATGTTCCGAAAAAGAAATATAGTGTCGGTCATTGTCGAAAATTGTAAAATGAATAAATATAGTAACTTTTCATCAGGTTTATACAAGGAAATATGAAAGAGACTGCAGAATTGACACAGATTCGATTAAATGTTTCCATACTAATGAAGATGAATACAGTAAGTCCTCATGAGGCTTATACGAAGTAATATGAAAGAGACTTCAAAATTGCCATATATTCGTGCATACCTGTTACCATTGCATCTTATACTGATCTAGCACCTACAACATGGTCTTCCGAAGGAAACTTTCCTCATTGTCACTCATTGTGAAGTTCAATAAAGATAGAATAACTCTTGAATGCTCATTTCTGCATCATCTTTTTCACAGAGTGATTCATAAAGAATTCATAAGTAGAAGAACTATGCCGTTTGTGCTTCAAAGCCGCCATCAACACTCCCTAGGTGGCGCTGTAGATGTGGCGATAGTTTTAACTTCTTGATGTTTGTATTTATAATATGTATTATTCGTATGGTGACGTCATCTTTGCAATTCAATTTATATTCCGAATTAAATAAAAAAAGCTGTGAGCTGTGCGAACGGGGAATCGAACCCCGGCCGACGGACTGTGAGTCCGAAGCGCTACCATTGCGCCACATCCACAAGTAAATGTTTGTGTTCAAGTTGGGGATATAACATGCCGGCCGGCCAGCGCGCGGGTCGCCTTCACCGGCAGACGTTGGATACTTGGTGCGCGGCGCACCGCATCGTTGCCAGACGTTCAAGTATTTGGGTGTTACTCCGTAATACGGACGTGGGCCATTTGAAGATGTGTTATCTCCAAGCGACGTTGTATGATGTATGTCGTTTGCAGATTATGCTTGAGATATAATGTATAGAGTGGAAGGATGCAACAAAAAACATGGCAGCTTGATGTGTAGGTTAAAGTTGGAGCAATATTCTCGAGGGAGTTTATGCCACACCGCTAATAGTCCACAAGGATCTGCAAATTCAATGAGAAATTCTATTGGAATGTATATTCTTGGGTTCACAGTGTATATTATATTAGGAACCATTTTTGCTATTTTTGAGCTTAAAATTCACGAAAAAAGTCCGTACATCTGGGGAAAAATATGCTTCGCTTTCCATAGTTCTTATGGGGCTTCCCTCCATGCATCGTGTAATTTCCGTAGAATCTAGGGAAAAATGACTTAGAATTTTGAAAATTGCGGGAAACTGGTACAGCTCCCTTATCGGTGAATGTCGTTAGAGTTTCAGTAGGAGATTTGAGGAAGTCAATGAGCACTGCTATTTCAGACTTCATATTTTTCTTCGATTGGCAGACTGATGAAAAGCAATCGAATAGGTATAAATCTCTGAACATCAGTAGTTGACGCATTATTTCAACTAAACCCTCAGCAATGATGGGAGCCTCGTTGGAATATGATTGTCCCAAATTGTTAAAAACATTTTGCTGTAGAAAAAGGTGTTTTTCCATATCTCCTCTAGATGATGTAGTCGATGGAATGGCATGTCGAAAATGCAAGCATTTTTCCTACTGCGTATGCGCATGCTCATCGAGACGCAAAAATGGAATAGGTTCATGTTTTGTGGCAGTTTTCAGATGTCTGTGGCAGAGTACAAACGTCAGCTGGAGGAATTCCAGAAGAAAATAAGAGAACTCGAGGTGACAATAAAACTTTACGAAGATAAACAGCTGATGATTAGGAATTTTTCGAAAATAGCTCTATTGGAAGACGTGATTACTACGAGAAGTATACCACTATCAACCACAACGAAAAAAATATGGCTATTCTGAAAGCATCATTTGTATTGCTGTTTTCAATGATGGGGGACATTTTGTACATGAATGTGCCAAACAAAGTCAGCGAGGCAGGAATTTGTTTCAATAACGAGTCATGCCAGTGGATTTCTATGTGGAAAGAACTCATCAATGACGGTCAGATGGAGGTATTTTCAATACAAGTACCAGAAAATGGAACGAAATATAAAATCAGATTGATTTTCAACGATAGGACCTTCAGCGAGCTGAATCAATGGCAGTTTTTTAGAGCCTCACCACCAATACCACCATTGGCACCATCACAGGACCATGAAAAATTCTATTCTCTGTTCAACGTGTTTTCATATATAAATTTGTCATTTCTAGTTTTGATAGTATTGATTAAAATCGTACAACTTCTCTGTAGAAAATGACGAGAAACAAGCTCAATCTTGTCTGTATATTATCGAATAAAAAATCTCATATCATATGGCTGAAGGTTGTTATTTCGTTCGTTAGTCTCTGTATATTATTTTTAATGGGTATTTCATGTCTTGGAAATATATTATCAATTTGCATAATAAACACATTATTCCAATTAAAACCCACATGGCCACTCCTTATCTACATCCTCTTCGAGGAATGTTCGCGCAACCAGTTGAGAGATAGCCCTGATGGCCTCTCACATGTGTTGTAAGTCGTTATTTTTTAATGGCGATATCACGAGATTACCATTCGCTTCGCATGGTATGCAAATTTATATTCAAATCAACATTCCACAGCCGATGTTTTTTATTCCGTTGGCTCATTATAGCGGAGATATCTCGAGATTGCAAAACAGCTTACATATGCGCATATTAATCAACATGACGCGATCGCCACATGCCCACTCTCCGGTCTCACGCTATCTCCGCCTATAAAACCAATTCGCGCTGTAGCATATTCAGTTCAACAGTGAATGCAGCAACAGCAAACATCCTACTATCCAGTGCAGTTTTGTTTCCATAATACCGGTAAGTACCTTTTTTTATATGAAAGTGCTCATTTCTAGCCTAAATGAATAATTTATACCTTTTTGGCAAAATCTCTTCGAGTTCCCATCTGTATTTTCAATTCAGCGTATTTGATTATTGCTTTTTCCATTCCATTTCAGTTCTTTGTTGATATTATAGGCCTTTTGGTATTTATTTCGAGTTTTGGAGATAAGTTCACAATTTTGCGTTCATGAAAGTGCTCATTTCTAGCCTAAATAAATAATTTATACCTTCTTGACAAAATCTCTTCGAGTCCCCATCTGTGTATTTTCAATTCAGCGTACTTGATTATTGCTTTTTCCATTCCATTCCAGTTCTTTGTTAATATTATAGACCTTTTGGTATTTATTTCGAGTTTTGGAGATAAGTTCACAATTCTGCGTATATAATTGCTGATTTTTTTTTCGTTTCATTGTGTGTTGCAAATGTTATGGAGATCTTTCATCATTCATTATGACCTAGAAGTGGTTCGGATTCCACTATAAGCTGTAAGTCCCGCTCTTCCTAACCCCGCACAAGTTTCGACTTTTTCACGATTCTGCGTATATAATTGGCTTTTTTTCATTACAGCAGCAGTCCAACAGCAGCAGTCCAACAGCAGCAACCACAACCTAGCTTTTGCAAGCAGCATCAGTGAAAGAGTACCCCTACAATTTCCATAAAACCGATAACAGTAAGTACCTTTAGTAAAGTAAAGTGTCTATTTCTACCCTAGATCTACTATTGGCCTTTTGATTTTTATTTTGAGTTTTGAAAATAATTTCTCGATTCCGAGTACATAATTATGGACGTTTTTAGCTCATTCTGAGTTTCATTTTTCTTTTGAAAGGTATTTCATGATTCCGCGTATTTAATTTTTGGTATTTCCATTTCGTTGCGAGTTCTTGCGAGTTCTTGCGAGTTCTTGCGAGTTCTTGCGAGTTCTTGCGAATATTATAGGTCTTCTGCCATTTCCTTCGCGTTATAAAAAAAAATAATTTCACGGTTTCGTGATTATTATAGACCGTTCGCCTTTTGAAATGGAAAAATATGCTTTTTATCTCGTT